AAACGGATGACCGTATAGGCGACCCCACGGCCCCGTTGGACCCCCCAGAGCGCTCCGTTCCCAGATCTATCCACCTTTGGACCCGTTGTCGTTTGCGGAGTCTGTTTCTACGTTTCCGTTACGGCGTCGTCGAGCTTAAAAGGCTATACGCATGAGAAATATGCGGATTCAACCCGTTTTCGTCCCCGTGGAGCCTAGGCCTAAATCTGCCTAGTGTCAGTAAAAAAGTGTTAAATCACAAACTCTCCATTTAGAGTCTGATTCTTTAAGAAACTCAATTCATTACAAATTAGGGAATATTTTACCAAGTTATAAAGTTTTGCATCCATTAAAGTGTAACTAAAAGTATCTTTGTAGGAGAAAAAACAAAAAATATTTAAGTTATTTCCAGAAAACTAGATTGTCTTACTAAAATGCCCTTAAGAGTCACAGTAGTAAAGCATCTAAAAACATATATTTAAAAAGTACTGTTAGTCAAGTCAAGTTATCAAAACTGCATTGTTTCATCGAAACAGTGTTAAATCACAAACTCTCCATTTAGAGTTTGATTCTTTAAGAAACTAAATTCATTACAAATTAGGGAATATTTTACCAAGTTATAACGTTTTGCATCCATTAAAGTGTAACTATAAGTATCTTTGTAGGAGAAAAACAGAAATCATTTAAGTTATTTCCAGAAAACTGGATTGTCTTACTAAAATGCCCTTAAGAGTCACAGTCTTAAAGAAAATCTGTTCAGAAAAAGTACTTCACTTTCTATCAGTTGTAAAGTTGACAAACATAAAACTGTATCCAAAAGTAAGAGAAGATGTTTCAGATGTTGCATGTGTTTCAGATGTTGCATGTGTTTCAGGTGTTTCAGATGTTGCATGTGTTTCAGATGTTGCGTGTGTTGTGTGTGTGTGTGTTGCATGTGTTTCAGATGTTGCATGTGTTGCAGATGTTTCAGATGTTGCAGATGTTTCAGATGTTGCATGTGTTGCAGATGTTGCATGTGTTGCAGATGCTGCATGTGTTTCAGATGTTGCAGTTCATTTTCGTAGCAGCTTTTTTACAATGGCTAGATGGGGTATACAGGTTACGAAACACTTGAGCCGCATTTTCCTTTGTCACCTGCAGTGGTGTCATTTTAATACTTCGGTGATAACTATTATTGTAACTTTCAATTAGTTCAAGCAAGACGTCTATGTATCTATGAGTGTTTTTTAGCTGTAAAATACCTCCTCATTTTAGTTTTCAGCGTACGGTTAAATCTCTCTACCACACACGCCTTCATGTCACTGGCTGTTGCATAATGTGCAATACCTCGTTTCTTCAATAAGGCTTGAAAAACTGTTTCAGATGTTGCATGTGTTTCAGGTGATGCATGTGTTTCGGATGTTGCATGTGTTGCCTGTGTTGCCTGTGTTGCAGATGTTGCATGTGTTGCAGATGTTGCATGTGTTGCAGATGTTTCAGATGTTGCATGTGTCTTACTAAAATCCCAGAGTGCCTTTAAGAGTCACAGTCTTAAAGAAAATCTGTTCGTCTTAGTGCGGTCCTTAGTTTTGGATGATTTGCTGAGTGGGTTGGGACTTATTGCGTTGAGTGGGGGGAGTCATCTATAGAAATTAGAGTTTCTTTCACCCGTATAATGTCCCTCGCTGTTTGACTCTTTTTAAAAAGTTATTTTTCATCTATCATTTTCAACCAAGCAGCAAGAGGTCAAATTTAAGAATAAATAATAGTTTGTCACGATTTTACGGGAAAAAGTCAGAGCGCGATGTCACATCTTAAAGACAGCTTGAACTGGATAGATGGTTAGTCTTTTTCAAACATACAATACGTTCTGCATGTCAGTATATTTGGCCATTCGGGTTAGGCCCTACTGCCCTTCCCGATGGTATCTGTTTATTGCACACCCTTGCTTGTATACTGTACAATCATTACCAACGTAAGAGCTTTTGCCCTTATCAGCCAGGTGCTAAAAACCGAATGCAACTATTTAGTATATGTTAATTTATTCGTCATCTATTCGTCATTATACATGTGTGTTTACACTGCTCCGTTGTCCATTGACTTCCGGTAAAAGTTCCATCAAAATAAGAGTCCCGATCTTTTTACTATCAAAATAAAAGTGCAAGACTAAAACTTTATCATAAGAAAATATTGGCATACAAATATAATCACTTCTCTAAAAGGTAACTCATTTTAAATATAGTTAGACATATTAAAGGTAATTTACAATAATACAAATAATGATAATAATAATAATAATAATATTAATATTAGTGATAAGCTTTATATTTGTATAGCACCTATTACAAGAATTGTAGCCAAACTGGCTTCACAGCAGTTCAATAGACACATTAGTATAACATGACAGGATAAAAGCAATGCAGAGGAGCAGCTACATTTCAACACATATATCCATGAAGATTAATACATGAAGACTTGTGACTCGGACTTGACTTGGACTCTTCTTAGGTGACTCTGACTTGGACTCAGACTCGAAAACAGGTAATGATGACTCGGACTCGACTCGGACACTCCTTGGGTGACTCGGACTTGGACTTGGACTCGACTACGACTCTCCCTAGGTGACTCGGACTTGGACTTGGACTCGAAGAGTGGTGACTCGAGAGTGACTTGGACTCGTGAATTGGTGACTTGACTACAACACTGGTGACAGCAGGCTGAGATCCTCACCGCTGATTGGCTACCGCGAATTTCATGCTCGTGATGCTGAAGAATCTGCGAGGAACGAACTAGCGGCAGAGGAATAATTATATATTAAAAGACAGCAGCATCATCAGAGGCCAATCAGAGTGACAGAGTGTGTCACTTTGCTGAAGGATAGTTGTGACCAGCTATCCAGGCCAGTCTCTAAAGACTTTCCAAGGTGTAAAACTGCTGCTGCCTGAGTACTGACTGGAAGTATTGCTGATATCATGTCCACCATATCCTCTTAAAATACTCCAACAATATCAGTCTCAGGAAGAAAGGTTTTTTAACGCTTATTAAAAATAGCAGAAAAACATGCATTCTTGTACTCAGGAGGGGACATTGACAGAGGATTACTGGAAAAGTACACAGTAAATACTTCATAGTACTTGTGGGGGTAGTTTCAGTAGTACTGAATCCAACAGGATCAATCTCACAAAGAACTAATGGCAACAAAAAAGAATTCCCTCATCAAACTTAGCAGAAGTGGCTTGATTTTGTTCTCAGCAGGGGACTTTGACAGAGGATTTCTAAAAAAATACACAGTAAAAGTACTTCAATGTATTGTTAGTAGTAGGCTAACCAATACAAAGTCAAACAGTATCAATTTCATTAAGAACTAATGGTAAAATTGTATTTTTATCATTCATCAAAGATAGCAGAAAACATGCATTATGTACTATGGAGGGGACTCTGACAGAGGATTACTCACAAAGTATACAGTAAAAGTACTTTTTTGTTTTCTTTTAACTAAATATACATCTATGTCTACATACAATATATGTAATTTACAATTATAAATATATATATATATATATATATATATATATATATATATATTAATTTACGTTGTATGTCAAATTTGATAAGACAAATATAAAAGACTATCTTTTTACATCTGACATACAAAATACATTTGTTATTAAATTAATTTAATTTCTGTAAGAAAAACATATTTTTTCATGCATTTTTAGATCGTTAATAACAAGCATTACAATGCCTAAAGAGACTCGCTGTGTATGAGACTCAATACTCGCTGGCATCTAATTCGCTAGGTGGCGATGTTGCAAAGCAGCTAGGGTCCTAGGAGTGCGGCCCTGAAACTGCAGTCTCCGGCATTGCAGGAACATACTATTATTAGGAATCGACAAGCAGAACCGAAACTAACATTTCTAAGCGACACCGATGGAGTCGAAATGTTGGAACCGGTACCCAACCCTAATCACACATGACAAAGAAGGAAACGTAAAGCGGTCGCAAACAACAATGGCGGACACGGACAATTTGCGAATGAGTTCTGCCTTTTGTACGCTGAATTTATCAATCATTTGTCAATACATATGGGCGAAAAACGTCAATGGAAAAATGTACTTGTCCGATATTGTAAATAACATGTCGACGGACGATGCTTTTTCGCACGCATTCAGTGAATCAACAAAAGTAGTTTAAAAAATTAATTCAATATTTGAATTCAGTAAAATAATTTTCCTAAATCAACACGATAATACACAATTTATTATTTACTTTTTAAATCATTCACATCATTTATAAAATAAATACAATACTTGTACGTTAAAAATGAATACTTTTTTTAATAAAATGTGTAAATCTGACAAATGTTCTTAATCAATAACATAGATTTTAATTTGAAAATATTTTTAAATCAATTAAATTAGTTTTAAATTGAATTATTTTTGTTTTGTTTAGTCATTTTGCTGACTCATGTTGCCTGAGAGGAGACGCCATCTTTATCTTTCTCTGATATCAGTATTAGGATGCAGAAGCAGAGACCTGAACCTGAACCTGGACCTGGACCTGCAGATGGACCTGAAGATGGACCTGAAGATGGACCTGAAGATGGACCTGGACCCAGCTGTGAGTCCATGAAGAGTGACGGGTCTATGGCGTGTCCTATTTACTTTAAAGCTGGACAAAGTGCTGATGAAAGGTAATAATTTCAAACTGGACTCTGTTACTATCTGACTCTCTTTGGAGAAGGCACCACAGACTGGTTCAGATCAGGCTCCAGATAATAATGGGGCTTTCTGTTCCTCGCACCATCAGCTGCTGGGAGGCTTCTGATGGTCGGACGCTTTCAGGCCTCAGTCATGTTGGTGTTTTTATAACCCCCCCCCCCCCCCCCCCCCCCCCCCCCCCCCCCCCCCCCCCCCCCCCCCCCCCCCCCCCTCCACCTGCTGAGCCACAGCTACCCTGTTATTCTGTCTTCATCTCAGAACACCTTCAGTCAGCTGTGTGCAGATTAGACTCTTTAAATGTTCTTGATGTTTTCTCCACAGAGTTCTGCAGGAGTACTCAGAGGGTCCCAGTGATCAGCCTGCCCCGAAGCATCACACTGACCTGGACTCCATATTTATGGTGTGTACAAATATACATTTACTATGAACTACAGATGATCTACCATTCAGGTCCTGACAGTGTCCATGCTGCTCTGTTTAGACCAGCAGGCCTTCAGACGGACAGATGATCACATGTTGTCTTCTTTAAATTAACAGTTGTTGCGTCGGCGGACCTGTATTAATCTCTGACTATTAATCAGACCTCCTGATTGACCTATCAGAAGCTATTGAGTCTATGCAAGTTCACCACCAGGCTCAGATTCACCTCTGAAAGGTCTTATCTCTACTAACTTCTGGAGAACCAGGTTCAATTAACTCGTGATTTAAGGCAGACGACTAAATCTGTTTCAGAGATCCCAGAGGATTCTGTAGTGAGGTGTGGCCCTGCCTAAGTGTGAGTGTGGCAGTCATCCAAGAGGGTGGTGATTATAGAAAAAAGAGGATTATCAAGATTTTTGTCGGGTGTTATTTTTTCAATAATGTCCTCCTAGCTGCACATTATCCCTAACATAATAACTTTAGTTTTAACAATATTCATCTGATCAATGTTCATCAATCTGTTCCAGCTCCTGGAGGAGAACATCGTCACTTTTGTGAAGAACGAGCTGAAGAAGATCCAGAAGGCTCTGAGTTCAGATTACCCAGAATGCTTAGAGATTCAGAGTGAGGATGAGGAGGTGTTGGACACTGAGGATGAAGAGCAGAGGAGGAGCAGCAGAGAGGCATTTCAGAACATCACTCTGCACTTCCTGAGGAGCATGAAGCAGGAGGAGCTGGCTGAGCGTCTGCAGAGCGGTAAGAGGGTTTAACACATTTAACAGGATGGAGAGGAGATGGAGGAACATGGAGAAGTTTACAAACTCTGCTGTTAATATGCTGCACACGTCTGCATCAGTGTGTCCTCTGAGGAGCTGATTCAAACTATACAGCCACACTTAAATGTTCAGAGTCTCAGTGTTTCTGCAGGACCCACTCACTGATTCCACTTGTTTCTTTATTCAGGAACTCCTGCTGCAGTGTGCAGTAAACTCAAATCCACCCTGAAGGAGAGGTTCCAGTGTGTGTTTGAAGGCATTGCTGAAGCAGGAAACCCAACCCTTTTGAACCAGATCTACACAGAGCTCTACATCACAGAGGGGGGGTCTGCAGAGGTCAATGATGAACATGAGGTCAGACAGATTGAAACAGCATCCAGGAAACCACACAGACCAGAAACAACCATCAGACGAGAAGACCTCTTTAAAGCCTCACCTGGAAGAGATGCACCAATCAGAGCAGTGATGACAAAGGGCGTGGCTGGCATTGGGAAAACAGTCTTAACACAGAAGTTCACTCTGGACTGGGCTGAAGGCAAAGCCAACCAGGACATCCAGTTCATATTTCCATTCACCTTCAGAGAGCTGAATGTGGTGAGAGAGAACAAGTACAGCTTGGTGGAACTTGTTCATCACTTCTTCACTGAAACCAGAGACGCAGGAATCTGCAGGTTTGATCAGTTCCCGGTTGTGTTCATCTTGGACGGTCTGGATGAGTGTCGACTTCCTCTAAACTTCCACAACACTGAGATCCTGACTGACGTCACAGAGTCCACCTCAGTGGATATGCTGCTGACAAACCTCATCAGGGGGAAGCTGCTTCCCTCTGCTCGCCTCTGGATAACCACACGACCTGCAGCAGCCAATCAGATCCCTCCTGAGTGTGTGGACATGGTGACAGAGGTCCGAGGGTTCACTGACCCACAGAAGGAGGAGTACTTCAGGAAGAGATTCAGAGATCAGAATCAGGCCCGCACCATCATCTCCCACATCAAGACCTCACGAAGCCTCCACATCATGTGCCACATCCCAGTCTTCTGCCGGATCTCTGCTTCAGTTCTGGAGGAGGTGTTGAAAACCAGAGAGGGGGGACAGCTGCCCAAGACCCTGACTGAGATGTACATCCACTTCTTGGTGGTTCAGTCCAAAGTGAAGAACATCAAGTATGATGGAGGAGCTGAGACGGATGCTCACTGGAGTCCAGAGAGCAGGAAGATGATGGAGTCTCTGGGAAAACTGGCTTTTGAGCAGCTGCAGAAAGGCAACCTGATCTTCTATGAGTCCGACCTGACAGAGTGTGGCACCGATATCAGAGCAGCCTCCATGTACTCAGGAGTGTTCACACAGGTCTTTAGAGAGGAGAGTGGACTGTACCAGGACAAGGTGTTCTGCTTCGTCCATCTGAGCGTTCAGGAGTTTCTGGCTGCTCTTCATGTCCATCTGACCTTCATCAACTCTGGTGTCAACCTGCTGTCAGAAGAACCAACAACCTCCTGGCTGCCTAAAGTCAAACCGACACTAACAAATCTCTACCAGAGTGCTGTGGACCAGGCCTTACAGAGTCCAAACGGACACCTGGACTTGTTCCTCCGCTTCCTCCTGGGTCTTTCACTGCAGACCAATCAGAAACTCCTACGAGGCCTGATGACACAGACAGGAAGTTGCTCAGAGACTGAAGAGGACACAGTCCAGTACATCAAGAAGAAGATAGAAGAGGATCTGTCTGCAGAGAGAAGCATCAACCTGTTCCACTGTCTGAATGAACTGAATGATCGTTCTCTAGTGGAGGAGATCCAACAGTCCCTGAGATCAGGACGTCTCTCTGAAGATAAACTGTCTCCTGCTCAGTGGTTAGCTCTGGTCTTCATCTTACTGTCATCAGGAGAAGATCTGGAAGAGTTTGACCTGAAGAAATACTCTGTTTCAGAGGAGGCTCTTCTGAGGCTGCTGCCAGTGGTCAAAGCCTCCAACAAAGCTCTGTACGTGAACACATAACTATCCAGATGAAATGTATTTATTATTTAATCAGAAACAAATACAAGTTTGTAATTGATTTCTTCTGTATTACTGATTCCTCTCCAGACTGAGTGGCTGTAACCTGTCAGAGAGAAGCTGTGAAGCTCTGTCCTCAGTCCTCAGCTCCCAGTCCTCTAGTCTGAGAGAGCTGGACCTGAGTACCAACGACCTGCAGGATTCAGGAGTGAAGCTGCTGTCTGCTGGACTGAAGAGTCCACACTGTGAACTGCAGACCCTCAGGTTAGTGAAAAGCTGTTTAAAAATGTTGACCCTCTGAACACCTAATTACTTCATATATTAACTATTGGATGGACCTTTAATTTAATTATGTTAGTGTTTGTACATTGTCAGAGAGAAGTTGTGAAGCTCTGTCCTCAGCTCCTGGGTTGCCGTCCAATAGTCCAAAAATCAGCTCCTAACGTCTAACCCAGGGGTGCCCAACCTTTTTTGAACCAAGAGCTACTTTTAAAGTTGCCAGTCTGCCGAGATCTACCAGTCCAAATAGAGAGGGGGGGGGGGGGCTGGGGTCTGGGGTGCTAGCGAACTGTCAACTGGGGGGGAGCCTCGCTGCGGGGTAATGGCGGACCTCTGTCGGTGCAACTTCAATGATGCCTTTTAACCTCTTAAGCCCTGAGCCTGTTTTTCAGGTCTCAGGCTCGAAGATGACATTCCCAGAACAAATGACCATATCTTCCCTTCTAAAAGGGTTAAATTAATAATCTTTTTTCTCAAAGTAATGATAAACCTGTGAGTTGGATGTAGAAAAGTCAGAATCAATATAGATGTTTTTTATTTTAAAGAAAATTCAGATTTTACATAGTAAAAAACTGTAAATTATAGTGTCTGTCCAAACATTCTTTTTTACTTATAGTGAAAACCACCCTTGGATGATGGGTTAGTAGACTAAAAGCTTTAGGAATCCAAAGTACAACATATAATAAGTACCCTGTATCAAGATTGATGCAAATCAAGTGACATTTGACCTTTTTAGAGAGATTTAGCAAAAAGAAACCACTTCTGGGGTCATTTGGGTGGATTTTCCATATCTCTGGCCCCCCTTGCTCGATTTTGATGGTTGACACCTCTTTCTGACCGTTAGAGCCAATAGAATTGAAGTGGGAGTCCCCCACACACACTCGTTGTGAAGAGAAGAGGTGGGGGCTTCGCGCATGTAATTTTGCATCAGAGTGGACCTATCTCTAGTTTTGACATCTGGAAACGGAAAAGCAGTTTTAATGCTTATGGATTATCTGAAATCATTTCAAAGGGACACAGACACATTCGATTAACCTATGGATTAACTTCAGCAGCGTTTTTATCGTTTTAATGCCATTAAAGACCACTTTGGAGAGACTACAGAGCCAAGGTAAGAATGTTAGCATTTTTAGCTACCTAGCGTTACCTGTTTTGATGTCCGTTTTTGCTTATAACGTCGCAAATACGTGGGGGGGGAATTCAGTGGTAATGTCGGTGTCGTTAGATTCTGTGTCACCTCACGATGTGAATCGATGTGTTGGATGTGGTGAAAAGATAAATAATAAGGTTTTGTGAGTGATTTTCGGTGCAGTAAGGTGTTAGCATTTTTCGCTCGTTGCTAATTCAGAGGCTCAGTGTTAGCTGTGGGTTTTCTTTTGAAAAAAAAAAAAAAAAGATCAGTAAGATGAGTTTCTTCCCGTTACATGGATATAAAACATTCATAGTTTTATTAAATGAACATGCCCTCAGACACTGTTTCCTGCAAGATGTTGCGGCAGTACCGTGGTACCGGGGTCTCTCGGGCTTAACAGGTTGAAAACATAAAAAATTAAGGGCGGTGACGGCCGTCAGCGAATCGAGCCGGCCCTTGACGACCGGCTGTTCTGTGATTCTACAGATTCTACAGATGGCCAGTCCGTGGAGGGTGGAAAATACATACCGGAAGTAAAAAAAGACGTGCAACGGGACGGTGTTCCCACGGGAAACAAAACTTAAAATATTAAATGAAACAATCTCATCTCTTAAAATTCACAACTTATTATGAATTACACATTCACAAACTTATAATTATGTATTCACATGTTTAACTCTTATGGCGCATTTCCACCACACGGCCTCGCTCGGCCTCGCTCGGTATGGCTAGGCCTCGTTATGCCTTGTTAGGACTGGCTCACTTTATGCTGCGCTTCCATTACAGTTTAGGAACTGGGGTAGTTACTATAGTAACGCAGTGTAGGCGGGGCGATCGGCTTTTTGGCGGGCGGAGCGACGCTGCATACAACTGCCGTGACGTCATCTTCAATGCGACACAATTCACAAAACACGCAACAATGGAGGATGTGGAAGCCATCGTTTCCTTGCTTCTGTGTATGTGGCTTTTTATCACAGCAAGAAGGAAAACTTTGTTTCGGAAAAGGCTGCTTATAGCAAGACGTAATACAGAAGAAGCTGAGGGGAGACTTATGGCAATCGTACAACGCGGCAGAGACTACTTCAGCACGACTCAACGACAACGCTACTCGGTAAGCTAACGTTCGCTAACTAGCAATGTGTTTCACGCTCACTATACGACCAAAGTGTTTCAAGTATTTAATTAATTGTAGCTACCACTTTTACGTATTAAAATATGTATGCTTTTGTTTGTGTATTTCAGAAGTTAGGTCGCTGCCGCAGACCATGTGTTTGGATGCTCGACCGAGCTACCGAGTGGTGGGGTGTGATTGTTCCATCTTTCACACACACTCAGTGGGTGGAAAACTTTAGGATGTCTGAGGAAACATACACTTACCTGTGCAACAAACTGCGGCCAGCGATAGAGAGACAGGACACAGCATTCCGCGAGTGTATACCTCTAAAGAAGAGGGTGGCCATCGCACTGTGGAAGTTTGCGACCGGCTCAGAGTACAGAAGCATTGGACATCTTTTCGGAGTGAGCAACACAACTGTGTGCCGGTGTGTGCAAGACTTCTGTGCTGCTGCAGAGACGTTGTTAGTACCGGAACTAATTCGTTCACCAGACCGGGAGAAGTTTGCAGAAATGGCCGACTACACTGAGAAGAGGTGGGGGCTCCCACAGTGTGTAGGTGCTATTGATGGATCACACATACCCATCTTGGCACCACAGGAATACCACTGTGACTATTTCAACCGTAAAGGCTGGCACTCCATCATCCTTCAAGGAGTTGTAGATGGAAAGGGACACTTCTGGAATGTGTTTGCAGGAATGCCTGGGAGCTTGCATGACGCTCGGGTTTTGAGGCTGTCCTCATTGTGGGAGTTGGCCAGTCGTGGCAACTACTTTCCACCTCGCACCAGGAACATTGGTGGGGTGAATGCTGGCTATTACATCCTGGGAGACAATGCCTATCCCTTGCAAAACTGGGTCATAAAACGTTCCCTGACACTGGACGGCTGACAGCAGAACATGTGATCTACAACAAGAACATTTGCAGAGCACGGGTAGTGGTCGAAAACGCTTTTGGTAGACTGAAGGGAAGGTGGCGTTGCCTCATGAAAAGAAATGACTGTGATGTGAAACTTGTGAAATCTATGGTGCTGACATGCTGTGCTCTGCATAACCTCTGCGAGAGTCATGGAGAGGCCTATAATGATGAATGGGATGCACCAGGGGTAGCAGTGGCACAAGGTGCAGAGGAGGAGGGCACTGAAATAAGAGAGGGTTTGATGCGTTACCTGAATAGCTAAATATTCATTGTATACAGGAAACTTGAATGTTTTGGTTCATAACATCATGGTTCAGTAAGTTGATATACATTTCTTGTGTTTGTAATTATAAACACGAAATTGAAAGATTGTGGGCCATTAAGGCTAGTGACATTTTGTTTTGTTTTTATTATTACTACATTGTATTGAACATAAATAAATCTTTTTTTCTCTTTCACATACATGTGTTTGTCAAATGATTTAAACCAAAAAATGTTATCAGAATTTACTATTTAGTAAATATTTGAATTTCAAGCACCAGTAACTACTGCCCCATAATAAGATCATGAAAAGAAAATCTCTCTAATAAATTAAGCAAATATCAAAGTAAACTATAAACATGAATACAAATGATCTCTTATCCTCCTTCTCTTTCTGTTTTTTTTCTAAATACCCCCTTCCAGTTTATTTATAAAAGGAAATCTTTGACTTTAAGTAATGATGTGTCAGTTACCAAATAATGTTTTAGAGGAGGACCTCAAGCTCGCAAACTCAATTTCTTGCTTTAAATCTCTTAAAATTAAATTTTTATCTTATGGGCTTTTTCCTAACTGATGGTGTTTCTTATTGCTTTATAAATGCATGTATAATGTTTATATTTTCAGTTCTAGATCTTAATTGGGCTATTTTTACAATTGTTTTTGAGAATGATATTGTAGGCTTCCTTTGTTTTTTAAAGATCCACATAAATGTTATTAGTAGCCTATTTTTATTATTATTTTGAAAAAATATAGGCCTATAACTTCTGCCTCAAAATTATGTGAATCTGAATTTTTTTTAAACGTTGGAATCCGACACAATTCTCAGTGTTTTTGTTCTGCTGATTTAAAGCCCTTTAATGAAACGTGTACATTTCATTTCAGTTTATGATTGGATTCCAAAACTGTGTGTTTGTGTGTGAGTGGCAACCCAGTGACTTTGTTTACATGGTCACGAAAATCAGTTTGTTAATCAGATTATGGAGGAAATCAGATGATGCATTTATCAACAAGAGATAAGATGAGAAGTACTTTATTGAATCCCAATTTGGGACGTGTTTTTGTTGCAACATAAAAAGGCCAAATACAAATAAAAAAAATATATATATTTGTTGCAGCAGCATAAAAAGGCATGGCATTATAAAAAAGTGGTTCGTCTTCCTGAAGAGACGGGCCACGTCGGCTGCCCCCTAGAACCTGGCCAAGAGTGCGCAGAGTATCTGCCTTAGCTAGCTACTGTATGTAGCTCTTCGGGGCTCCATAAAAGCATGGGTTGTAGAACATAAATGTAAGGATAAAATAGACTTGTTTGTTAGAAGTGAGCTTTAGAATAGATAGGGACACAACGCTTTCAAGCAAATAACAGAGCGTTAGCAAAGACTTACCATGCAGGGACTCCAGTAACGCGGTTGCAGAGTCCAGGCCTCCCTCCCTCCCAAGGTCGGCCGGTCTATGGCCATAAATAGCGTCCAACTGGTCGAACCACTTCCAGCTTCTCCTATCTGAACCACTCCGGCCGTTGTGGTCCTTGACGGCTCTATACTCACTCTTAAGCTTTTTCAGTTTTTCCCTACACTGCTGGAAAGTCCTTGAGAATCCGCGTTCGGACAACAGTGCAGAGACCTCCTGAAAAACGTTTAGGTTGCGAGTTGTGCCGTCGAACTCCCGCTGGATTTTATCATCTGCTATCAGCTGGAGGAACGTCGTAACTTCGTCAATCGACCACGGTGTGCTTTTCTTTGCCATTTCTTCTTTTAGCTTCTCTGTTTTCAAAAATGCTGCAAGCGTCCCAATATATGCAACGCTAGGGATTAACCTGTGCGAGAATTGTGAGGATTCTCTCTGACCAATCAGCAGTCGTCACTAGTTTAGCATATTCCGCCCGGTTGTTGGCCTCGATAGAACCACGATTTTGTCGGGCCAGAAAAAAGGTGAAAAAGTAGCCCCGGGCCGGAACTAGGCATAGTGGAAGCGCAACCAAAAACGGGCCCGGCACGACACGGCACGCTTAAACCGCGCTCCGCGCCATGGTGGAAATGCGCCATTACATATGCACGCAACGAACAGAAGAGCGCAGGGCAGAATTAGGAGGGAATTCCGTCTCGTAGCATTTGTGCACCGTTTTGAAATGCTCTAAATTACCCTTCTTCGGTAAAGCCACGCTCGCATTGCAAATGAGACAGATGGACTTTAAATTGGAATAAACAAAAAAATAATCATCCTCCCACTCGGAGCGAAAATGATATATTTTGGGCTTTTTTGCTTCTGCCATAATTGCGGTCTTGTGTGTGTGCGGACTGTCACTCCTATGGACAACGTCAGCTAACTAGTACCCACTGCCCACCAGCCACGCCCCGATACATGGGGTCACGCCAATCACAAAGCTTTGATGCGTTCAAGTGCATTATTCTGGCACAGGAAGATTATGTTATAGGACATTAACGATAAAACTGAATATTGTTGTTCTATTTTTAGACACATCTCGCGATCGACTGGGTGGGCACCCCTGGTCTAACGCTATTGTCTAACCCTATCATACCTATATGTTATGTGTAACGTTGCTGCCTTCTTGGCCAGGTCAGCATTGAAAATGAGATTTTATCTCAATGTTTTTATCTGGTTAAATAAAGGTTAAATAAAAAAAAAACTATCGTCTATCCCTTGACCTCTGAGTGAAACGTCACGGGGTTAAGGGATAGTGGATAGGAGAATTCAAAAGGACTTAGGAGAAGAGACTGCGGTACTTTAGAGAATCGACTGCACTTTCACTATCCGACGTGTTTATGATGCGCCAGCGGAGGTCATAAATGTGCGTCTGCTGCTGTGGGGAAACTATGGAAACTACAGTTTTCTATACAGCGGACTACAACATGGATGTATAATAAGAACGAGGGACTACTGTAAACTCATCTAGAGACTCTGCACCGTGCTCTGATGCTGTTATGCTTTATGAACGGGGACAACAGAGAAACATATTCTTCATGACCAAAGTTGGAATTGAAATAAAAAAGGAAAGTGAAACTTATGCTCATCACCCTCTCCCTCCGGTCCACATTAATACAAATGAACCCAATATGTATGATTGTATGAAAAGATCTTAAAATCAATACAAATGTATTTATTATAAACGTTAGTCCTTAACATCTATCACTGTGTATATCACCATTCAAACATCTTTTAAAAGTTGAACAAACCCCACACAGCTCAGTAAAGACTGTGAAATGTTGACTTTATTTGATCATTTCAGTAAAAACTAACGTTCATATTTCTCTTTTTGATTATAATACTGATGAACGTTCAAAACAAAGCACTTTGGCAACTTACCACATACATTTTAAAAAGCTTAATAAGCACCGTAACTTTCATGATATCATTTCTCGTTCATAATCGGTTGTTTCCGTGAACGGCCGACTGTTGTGTGACGGCAAATGCCGCGGCCGCAAGGCATTGTGGGGCAGCATTTTCTCCTCTCCTTTCGGTGAGGGAGGTCCAGTGGTTCCTAAGCTAAACGAGGTTATAAAGGAAGTTTGAAACCTCCTTTCCTATCATCTAGAGAATTGGAACGGCACTTATCATGGCTGCCACTGAGGGACTTCCGGGTCATTTCACTCCGTTAGGAAGGTTCCTACGCTAAATGGACTATTGGACCGCAACCCCGGTCCTCTAGTCTGAGCTGGACCTGAGGAACAAGTCAAATGTTGACGCTTTCTTATCATCCAGTATTAAACATGGCAGCAATGTTATACTGAAGTTGTTTGCTAATGTAGTAACTTTGATCATATTAGTCTGTATTTAAACTTGTTTGTGGTCCAAAGAGAATAATACATAGGTTCGGGTTGTAATGTCGGTTCAACTAATTGTCCATTTAATCCCATTGGTTAAAATGGTGACTGTAAAAAGCATTTTTAGCTATTAGGCTATAGAAATGTTACTGCAGATCTGCAGATCTGATGATACCACTACAGAGTTGGTGGAATCAATATTTGGTTGAAGGTTTTCTGCTACAAAAGACGAATATGATCCACATTATTCTCGAATGTGTTTGTTAGAGAAATCAACAACGTTCTTAAAGAAATCACCACTCAGCTCAAAAGTGGCCAGCTGTTCCTACCTTTCCCCCCCCTCCAGATATCTCTGGGTCTTCTTACATTAAACAATTATATAATCACTGCTGGAATGAGAAAAACAGATGAACTAAGTATGTGTGTGTGTGTGTGTGTGTGTGTGTGTGTGTGTGTGTGTGTGTGTGTGTGTGTGTGTGTGTGTGTGTGTGTGTGTGTGTGTGTGTGTGTGTGTGTGTGTGTGTGTGTGTGTGTGTGTGTGTGTGTGTGTGTGTGTGTGTGTGTGTGTGTGTGTGTGTGTGTGTGTGTGTGTGTGTGTGTGTGTGTGTGTGTGTGTGTGTGTGTGTGTGTGTGTGTGTTCAGTCTGTCAGGCTGTCTGGTCACAGAGGAAGGCTGTGTTTCTCTGGCTTCAGCTCTGAGCTCCAACCCCTCCCATCTGAGAGAGCTGGACCTGAGCTACAATCATCCAGGAGACTCAGGAGAGAAGCTGCTGTCTGCTGGACTGGAGGATCCACTCTGGAGACTGGAGACACTCAGGTACAGACAGACAGACAGACAGACAGACTGTGTCTCTGTCACTGAGGGACTCTGCTTCCTGTGTAATGGTGGATTTGAGTGAAGGTGTATGAAGTTGATTCTGACTGTGTTTCTTCCTGCAGGATGGACCATGGTGGACTGCAGTGGTTGAAACCTGGTCTGAGGAAGTGTGAGTGTGTTTTCAGTTTGATTCCTCAGAGCTGCACAGGTTACACTGCACATGAGATCCACAAACACAACAGAACCAACAGATACACATTTCTTAACAGAAAGCTCACTTCTTCTTTTCACTGTTATAGGTATATTCTCATATATTTAGGGTTTCAAATGTATTCTTTTTTTTGTTTTGTATGATTATATTTTTTTGAGGGTAGAATTACATTACATTCAATATTTTCATGACACCAAGAAATTAATTGGCAACAAAATTTGACTTAAAGGGCCCATGTCATGCTTTTCCGGTTATTACCCGTCCCCTTGTGTGTTATGAAGGTTTTTATGCATGTAAACGGTCTGCAGAGTCAAAAACCCTCAAAGTACACCCTGTAGCGAGTAAAACTCTAACACAGTCTATGCTGCCCCAAAACGCCTCGTTGGAGATTTCTCATTTTCCATTGTTTACTTCCTGGGTACTGTGATGTGTGAATACCCAGAGGCCACACCCTCTGCCAGCATTTCATGAAACAAAGCTTCCCAAACCTTTCAGCGATTCATGCCGGATATGTACAGCGTAGGGCACTGAAGAACGATGCTGTTTGTTTGGACCAGCGGGAGATTCGGCTACACAACCTGTAAGTATTCATTGTTGTTTGTGTATTTATGATGTTTGAAACAAACAAGGTATCTACCACGACTGTTTAAATGGGTAAACGTTTTTCGGACTGCTAAGCCATTGACACAGTGCTAACTGTGCTAACTAAGTTGCTAGCGTTTCCATATATCAACTCCAATGTCAGCAGATGGCCTTACATGTATCTCATAGCAGGAGAATGTCTGCATTCACACACGAAATACTCATAGACAGTATACTCCGGGTGATTTACCGTACGGTCAGTCGCGAAACTTAATTACATTATAGTTGCTACCGAGCTAAAAAAGAAGGCTACCAAGATCTAGACATGCTAGGGAAAACATTGTTTTTATGCCAGCTACAATGAATGACCAAACGTAGCAGACCACCCGTATAAGATTGCAATTGTAAACATGTTCTTGCTAGCCTAATATGAACCACTAGCTGTTGTTCATAGTAGGTTGGCATATTACACTGAACAACTAGCAAACGTAGGTTAGCATATTAATCTAGCTGGCAAGCTAACGAACCTAAAACAACTAAGTTTCTCTAATATTTTGTGATTTGCATTTGATTTTGTCCAGCCAGATCAGGAAACTCCTGGCGTATCTGGCCGACAACACATGACGGGATGACCACTCTGATGCCTCGTCCTAAAAAGCCCCGGCACCAGCTTACAAAGCTGCGATAGGCAAGATGCCGAAAACGCCTATAAGGGGAGGAATGGATGATATACAGTAGGGCTGTGCAATTAATCGTATTTTAATCTCGATTACGATTTTGGCTTGCAACGATTACGAAAACAACGTAATCGAAATAAAATGATTATTATTTTTATAAAAAAAAAAAAAAACGTTATTTTCTTTAATTTCATTGGCTGGACAACTTATGGGATACGCTTGATTTATATATAAACACCTCCCGGGACCAGCGTTATATGCAGTCTATGGTGTTGTCAGAGTTGACACGTGACTAAATGATATTCACCAAGCACTTCTACTGCCTGATTGGTCTACTGCGCAGGTGCGCCCTTGGATTTCAGATGTTTTGGTCGTCGAGATGGTAAGTGTCAACTTCCTTAGGTAACATTGTCTTTTTTTAGAAAGCAGTCCTTATTACTTGCATGTGAACCAATATTGCTATCTCACTTTTATTTTCAGCATCGACATGGCATTTTTGCTCAGGTGCATTCAGTAACCCGCCCCTCACCTGGCAACGGGAGCAGTGCCGTGGGTCCCGTGCATTGTACCCGGGCAAAGTCACGGAGAGGGATTAATGAGGCAGTAGAAGGAGGCGATTCCATACAAGAAAGTGGTAAATTGGGTTTATAAATGTCAAAGTAGTTGACGTTAGTGTGCTAACTTCACACTCTAGATATGTGAACTATCCTGACAAACTACCACTAACTTTATTAGCTAAGTGATATGCATGTTAAATAACCGATATGCATGTTAAGCTCTGACTCAAGCTCTACCTCTACCTCTGACTCTTCTGATGAGGGAAAGAAGAAAAAGAAGAAAAAGAAGCAGAAGAAGAATGGCAAGAAGAGAAGCAAAAAAGGGAAGAAGGAAAACAAAAAGGCGAAGAGATCAAAAGGAAAAGGAGAGCGAGGTATAATAAACTAACACACCTGCTGAATGTATTTAGGTATTAGGTATTTAGGTTATTATTGTGAGCTTAGTGCTTTATACTGGGTTTGGGGCATACAATCCCATTGACCAATCATCATCACTCTTATCACCAATGTACTCTTCATCGTGCCGGAGTGGTTGGGGTGTAGGTTGAATGAACTAAAATAGAGACACACCACATGCTTACTAGAGGTGTGAATCTTCACTGGCCTCACGATTCGATTTGAATACGATTCACCTGTCAATGATTCAAATTCCCAACGATCCTCGATGCATCTCAATGTATTGCATCCTCAATTTTCTATATTACTGCACATAGCAACAAATGTTATCAATTAATACAAGCAGTCAGATAAATCTGAACTCCTTTTTTTATTTAGAAAGTGCTTTCAAAGATCTGACTGTACAGACTTTAATATAAAAGCTTCTTTTCAATACCAGTATCTGTGTGAGCCACCTCACATAAACTTAATAAAAACAAAACTGAAATAATTCTGCAGTACATTACAAGTGTGCTGTAATCTACAAAAATAAGGTTTTCACATAGCAGCTCAGTGTTTCCCTAGGTTGACTGCTTTGGGGGGGGGGGGGTGAATGGGCAGGGAGATAACTTTTTAGATTATTCCGACATCATGTGAATGCAGCACAAAGCCGATGGCATTTACACTGCCTAGCAGCTACGGACCTTCCCTTACTCATAGTTCTTCTACTATGCTATATCTATGAGCGCACAGCGGATGTTTGATTCTGCGGGGAAGTGCAACCAAACAAAAAGGTGGGGATATTTAAACTTTTAGTGGCGAAGCGCAGCTAGAGAGTACCTGCAGCCAATCAGTAAACAGAGTCTTGACATGTTGACCTATGTTATAAAGAATTTCTTCTCGCCTGAAACACATGAACACGCCTCAGAAAAATGTAATCATTGTGGCGATCTGCACTTCGCTGCTGCCTGATGTGAATTTGGCATAACAGAGCAGCTGTTATTGGTAGTGAGAGCAACAAGTTAGTGGACTGCAGATCGTTTGAATGCCGCCTCTCACCTCCGCACACACGGGGTGTGTGTAAAGCTCTGCCCTCGGTGAAACAGAGATCAGAGGAGAGGAGAGAAACTAGCGCGACAGAAAATGACAGCAGAACGCAGTAAGACTCTCACTAAGCTGATATGAAACCAAACTCCCGATTATGTTCTGTCACTGCATCGATGCAGAATCGTACATCGCGATGCATCTTATAAATCGAGAAATGTCCACACTTCTAATGCTCATCTACTATGGCTGTTTGAGCTTAACCTGTAATGAATAATGAAATATAAATAATGTTCTCACCAGTTTTTACCACCAATATGTTTTTTACCAATAAATAGCAAATTATCTAACTAGATTTGCACACTGCGCATACAGGCACTCCTAGTACCTACTATAAAATACAACACATGTTCTAAAACAAACGGGAAGTCACACACATTCATCCAAGTTGTAGTCCCTTTTCAAGAGAAAATATGTGAGAAACACTATGGCTCACCCTGCAACTAAGACACTGCACACAATACACACCACAACAATTATTGGGGGGCCATAACATTTATTGACATTAATGTATTCTTTATTTTTCAGTGTCTTCCATCTCAGATGTGGTGAGAAGATATCGGCGTGTCCTTAAACTGGTGCAGAGAGGCTTCAGGATGACCAAAGCTTTTAAGAAAGTTCATGTTTCCAGGAATGCTGTGAAAGACACTGCAGCAATTGCTGAAGTATTCCTGGTGGATAAAAGTATCCTAGACCAGTTTAAGGGTAAAAACACACTTTTAAAATTAGCCCAACTCTGTCAGAAGAAAATAGTCGGTGAACTGGCAGAAAAGATAGCTGAAATGAAAAGCAACAAACAGCTCATCCCCTTTTCTGTCAGGTAATTCTGAATGTGGGTTGAGCGTTGTTGTTGTTGTTGTGGGGGGGGGAGTTTTTTCATTTTGGGAAGCTACTTTGGGGAAGTTTTCCTTCTCTAACTCACAGCGGGTATTTTATTAGCTGATTCAAGTGTATTCTTAATTTTAAGTTTTTACGCCTACAAAAAAAAAGATAAGGGATTGACTGTTTCCACCAGAGGTTTATTCCTGGTATTGTAGAGAAAACTTTACAATGTAATATTATTACACAGTTGTGAAATATAGTCTATTGAAACGCTAAATGGACAGTTGAATAATGTATTTTATTTTTTATATATATGTATATATATTTTTTTATATATAGTAGTAAAGAAAAACACTTTTAAGTATCTGATCAGAATTTTCCAGAGTGGGACAAATGGGGTGACTTGGCTTGATTGATTATTACAATGAACCTGATGAATGTAAATGTACTTAATGTATGGTGTATGGTCAATCCCAAGGTGAGAAACACTACCATGCCCTGCAGTTTTAACAGGCAAACTGTTAAGCCTTTTTGCATTCTATTTTTGCGACCTGTTAATAATTAAGTTAAGATGTCCTTTAGTAGGATTGAATGTGGTTCACAACTGTTCAGTGTTTTTACTTGTAGTATATTATTAAAATAAAAAAGCTTTCTTTCTCTGATATGCTGCATATAGTGTTTGTTCTACTGTGCTTTATGCTGCGTTCACACCGGACGCGATGCGAATATTCGCATCGCTCTAAACGCTCGAGTTTCACCGCGGCTGCCAGCTGTGTTTACTCGCATCATTCAAACAAGACGCGCTGGCTCGGGGGCTACAACTACAACAAAATTAACATATTTGACCGTGATTAAATTGTAATACACGTTTCTAAATGATGCCGAAGTAACAACATACTGATACCGGTTAGTAAAAACCATGAATTAATGCTTTGACAAGTCTGCAGACAAGACGGCAGGCAAAACACCTTTTAAAATGCTTGTTTTCTGAATGAAGATCGGGTCGACCAGGCTAAGCTAACGTTGTATATGCTCATTCCACACTCACAACAACGGCCTACAGACATAAATAAACCAGCGACTGTATTCGCCATGACACAGACAGTCTGTGGTTTGTACTTGTTTAACTTTTGTCCAGTTTCTGAACAGATATCACAAAAAGTGCAAAGTTGGGTGCAGAGCTGAAAATGTGTTTAGAGTTTTGAGTTCAGGCTCTTTGAGTGAGAGTTTAACTAATTATGCTTTATGTGAGATTTTAGTGTGTTAGCAACTGAAACTGTAATATCATTGAAACATGTTCCTGTGAAAGCTTCTTCACATTAGACTCTTTGGATAGTGACAGTATATCAACAGCTGGACGCTGATGCTGTTTCCCTTTGCTTATCTCTTATTTTACAATAATAAGTATTAGGTCTGAGATCATTGATGGATCACCTACTGATGAAGATCAGGTTGTTAGACATCATTCTCAGTGAATATGAGACGTCAGTCTGAATGACTTCCTGTCAGTGATTGTCAGTAAAGTAGTTAATAAATGAACAGATGATAACCTGCAGCTGTTCTCTCCATCAGATGCCTGTGAACTGGAGCTGGACACAAACACAGCACAGAGGAAACTCAAACTGTCTGAAGACAACAGGAAGGTGACACGGGTGGAGGAGGAGCAGCCATATCCTGATCATCCAGAGAGGTTTGAGAAAGAGCCTCAGCTGATGTGCAGAGAAGCTCTGACTGGTCGCTGCTACTGGGAGGTCGAGTGGAGCGTAAGGGTTTATATATCAGTGACTTACAGAGGAATCAGCAGGAGAGGAGACAGAGAGGACTGTGAGTTTGGAGAGAATGATCAGTCCTGGAGTCTGAACTGCTCTGATGATGGTCGTTACTGTGTCTGGCACAATAACAGCGCAACAAGCATCTCCTCCTCCCCCTCCTCCTCCTCCTCCCCCTCCTCCACCTCTGGTAGAGTAGCAGTGTTTCTGGATCATCCTGCTGGCTCTCTCTCCTTCTACAGAGTCTCCTCTGACAAACTGATCCACATCCACACCTTCAGAGCCACATTCACTGAACCTCTCTATGCTGGGTTTGCGTTCTCTTCTGATGGTTCCTCAGTGTCTCTGGTTCCTCTGCAGGTCTGAGAGTCTCTCCTCAGTGTCTCTGGTTCCTCTGCAGGTCTGAGGGTCTCTCCTCAGTGTCTCTGGTTCCTCTGCAGGTCTGAGAGTCTCTCCTCAGTGTCTCTGGTTCCTCTGCAGGTCTGAGAGTCTCTCCTCAGTGTCTCTGGTTCCTCTTCAGGTCTGAGAGTCTATCCTCAGTGTATCTAGTTCCTCTGCAGGTCTGAGAGTCTCTCCTCAGTGTATCTGGTTCCTCTGCAGGTCTGAGAGTCTCTCCTCAGTGTCTCTGGTTCCTCTGCAGGTCTGAGAGTCTCTCCTCAGTGTCTCTGGTTCCTCTGCAGGTCTGAGAGTCTCTCCTCAGTGTCTCTGGTTCCTCTGCAGGTCTGAGAGTCTCTCCTCAGTGTCTCTGGTTCCTCTGCAGGTCTGAGAGTCTCTCCTCAGTGTCTCTGGTTCCTCTGCAGGTCTGAGAGTCTCTCCTGACGACAGAAACTGACTGCAGATCAGCTGCTGAAAGCAGTTCAGTGTGTTCACCATCACACACATCTGTCTCTCACTCAGACACAAAACATTCATCTGATTTCTTCTCTGTGAAAATCAACATCTTAACTCTTAATGATAAACATCAAAAAGTGTAGAAACTTCTATCACTGAGTTTTATATTTATACCCCCACAATCTGCTCCTCAGTTTCCTGGAAAGAAGTAACCATAAAGAAACGTGAGATAAGGAAGGGGAAGAGCTACAGAAAATGTAACAGACCGCCATCTTCTCATCCGAATCTGGAAATGTTGGACTGTTCTTGTAAATGTTCTTTAATGGAAACAACAGATTTCCCAGTCTGTCGTTTAGCCCAGTTCAGGTTTAACCCCGCTCACTTCCACACGACGACAGCATCGACACCGCGGCCTTTAGGACATTTGAAGAAGATGAAAATATCTCTTTTTAAATCTGATCAGTGTTGCCGAGCTCAGGTGATGTTAGTCATCTTTTAAGAATAATGTAGGTAGGTAGGTAGGTAGATAGATGGATGGATAGATGGATAGATAGATATAGGCAGTTAGAGTATCTAAACATTATCAAATATACAGAATACATTATAATTCTCTGTAATATCCCAATCTACTGATCATATAAACTACTCCGTTATTATATATTAAAACTAGCAAACATCTGTAGGCTAACAGCTCGTATTGTAGAACAAGTAGTGTATCTGAGTTTTTGTTCTTTCTTACTTTCCAGCCCTTTGTGTTCAGAAACACTTCATTCATCACATTTGGCACCAATATGGTGTTTTCTCCCAGGCTAGAGTAGAGGTGATGTTACTGCTCGTTGACATACGGACGTTCTCTTTGTACGGACGTTCTCTTTGTACGGACGTTCTCTTTGCACGTCCGTGGCGCGTTCATGCAGAGCTTTGTGGAAAAAGGGCTGTGGTTGAATCTGAACTGGGAACAACAGACGCTTCTGATCTGTCTTCCAGCAGACCGTCTCTGCCTGGAGCTTTTTGGTTGGACCTTGTGTCTTGTTTGAACTCTGATTGCACTAATCTGTTGATGCCGAAATATTTTTGAACTCTAGTCGACTTGTTTTGGTCGAGGAAGTTATTCTAGAGATATTTTGTGTCCTTTTTGTCTTTGTTTTTCTTCTGTTGTTGTTGTTGTTGTTGTTGTTGTGAGATCATTAAAGGTGGGGTAGGTAAGTTTGAGAAACCGGCTCGAGATCGCTAGAATTTGAAAATACACAACCGGAGAAAATCTGCCACTTCCTTACAGAGCCCCTCCTCCAACACACACGAACGCGCACATGACCAATGAGGGCACGAGATAAGTTTGTGCACAGATGGAAGGCTGACAGGCAGGTAGGCCATCCAGTTATTTTAGCCGGGCCGGCTCAGATGATTGGTCGTGCTTTTTACAGTACTACAGCTTCCACAGATGATATTTCTTTATGGATTTTTTGTCAAAGCACTTCAGATATTCATTGCTATCAGGATGTTAAGAGCATTCCATGGAATATAACAAAAAGTGTATCTCGAGCCGGTTTCTCAAACTTACCTACCCCACCTTTAAGGTTTATTTTTGTTGTGAATATTTTAGGTTTTTTGTGGAATGATGGTTGGTGTTTACAGCCTTGGGATCACACAGCTGTAGTTTCTGTCTTTAAGCAGGTTCATCTGTATCGCTGTGTTTCAGGTGTGGAACATTAAGTTACGCTGCACTTTGATTCCTCTATTCACCTCATGAAGCCCCGCCCCTTTTCCCACTTCCTGTTCAAATGCTTATGTCTTAGTTCTTCCTGTTAGCACTAGCAGCGTTGTAAGAACATTGGCATTTTATCATTTATAAAAGTCTGAATTTTGAGAAATTTAGAAAAAAATATTAGATACATTTATAAAAAAAAGTTTAAGTAAGATTTTTGAGAAATTCGAGAAAAAAAAGAAATGTTTGAGATATTTAGAAAAAGTCAGAATTTTTGAGAAATGTATATAAAAGTCAGAAAGAAAACATTTCGAGAAAAAATGAACTTTCAGATTTCGGGAAAAAGTCAGGAATGTTATAGATTTTGAAAAGTCCGAAATTTGAGAAAAAAGTTTAAAAAAAATTGATTTGAAAGAAAACGTTTTTTAGGAAAAAAACAGAATTTTGAAAAATGTTGGAAAAAAATGTTAAAAGTCCAGAATTTTGAGGAAAAATGAAAAACTGAAATTTTCAGCAATACATTTTGAATTTTGAGAAAACAGTTTTCTTCAAGCAGACCCTCTCATACAGCAGCAGCTCCTCACAGCTCCAAACATCAACGTAAAACCTCTAATATATGATTTTTGGATCTAAATCCCATATTAGTGATCTGAACTGTTCTCACCTGAAAAACTGTTATGACTTAATAACAGTTTATTTAAAAGCTTAAAAACAGGGCAGGCAAAGGTTGATAAAGCTGGTGACGCTTTGCAAAGTTATAGCAGTCACTCTGTAACAGGAAGAACCAACACATAATACGGTTAAGGTGGAAGCGTCCTAGAGGTGGCGAAGCATGAGGTGAATAGAAATGATGAATTTAATAATCCCAGCGAGGGAAGAGGCTCAACTGACTCTCTGCTTCAGGTATCTGTTAGCATCGTTAGCATCGTTAGCAAACCAGCTGGACGCTAACATGCTAGCATCCAGATCTGATGTTCTTTACACTTTATTGAAATCTGTTTTTAAAAATATTGTATAATTGAGGAAACTAAAGTTTTGTATGAACTTTCGTATTAAAACTGATTTTCTTCCTGTTATGTTGTTGGTCTTTCTTCATATTTTGACACTTTGGTACAGTTAGTTTAATTTATGGGAACATTTCTACCAAGGTCTGAATATAAATGGCACCACCTTAAAAACACGTTGATGTACAGCTAATGATTCACATCAACTTCTCTCCTTGGTGGTAATAGTAGTAGTGTAGTGCCGAGAGAAGGGAGACGGAGGCGGTGTATCGGAGGTGCAAATCTCTCTTTATTGGGGAGCAGAAACTGACATGCTATCGGGTCGAAGCCGCAGAAGAGAAGAGAAAGTGAAAGGGACACACACACTGTAGGTACCCCGGAGGTACCGTCAACATATATGTCCGGGCGGAAACAATACCCCCAACCTGTAGTTCCCGGATTGAATTATGTAACCCCAGTGTATGAATCAGTGATCACTACACAAGCCCCCCCAGAATTCAACCATGGACACAATCCTCGCGTCCGGGAGGAAGCACCACAGGGGCCGAGGAGGGCGGGCCATGGAACGGGCCGTCGTCAGGGGGCCGCAGGAGAGGGTCGCGTCGTGGGGACAGGTGTGAAACACCCGGAGGTCCCCAGCAGGGAGGAGCGCTGCCCGGCCGCAGGCGAAGGCACGGCGGCGGCGGGCACGAAGTCCTCGGGAGGAAGGAGCCGTGTCCCCGGGAGGAGGGAGACGTGGACAGAGGAGAGGCCAGACGGGGCGCCGTCGAGGCGAACCGTGAGCCGCGGTTAGAGGAGAGGCCAGGCAGGGTCCCGAAGCGCGCCACCCGCGGGCCGATGAAGGCACGGGTGACGTTCGAAACCGCCGAGGCGAGGGAAGAGGCGAGACGGGGTCCAGAAGCGCGCCACCCACGGGCCGAAGAAGGTGTGTGTGACGTCCGAAACCGCCGTCGAGGTGGTGAAACAGCGAGAGGGTCCACACGAGGCCGACCAGACATGGTCGAACCTCCTCTCAGACACCAGAAAAAGCTCAAAAATGGTCGTCCTGTCCACGATCAAAAACAGGTGGGCGAAATAGCGAGAGGATCCACGCGAGGCCGACCAGACTTGATCGAACCTCCTCTCCGGCACCACAAAAAACAAAAACAAAAAAAAACAGTCGGATGTCGATAGCCGCTGGTAGCTGCTAGACATCGTCAGCCGTTGCTAGCAGTCGTCGCTAGCCGTTGGCAGCAGCTAGCCGTTAGCTGTCGTGGCTAGCTGTCGTTAGCAGTCGAGGCTAGCCGCTCTCGACGGCCGGTAGTCGCTGTCGTCGTCGTCGCCCCGGAGCCTCTGCTAGGCGGCGTGCCCCCACCAGGGAAGGTGCTGCAGCGAGCAGTGGCAAGCACCCCGGGGGTAAATCGCGGGGCGGCCAGGAGGAACCGGCCAGCATCCTCGGCCAAAGCGCGGGGCTCAACACTAGCCGAGTCAGCTAGCGCAGCCCGGACATGCAGCATGTCCCGAAGAACCAGCTCCACGAGGCAGAAGTCGGGTCCCTCCATACCCAGCAGGTCGTGCATCGTCCCCTCGTAGCAGGAAGGCTTGCTGCCCTCCAGTGCCGAGACGAAGCGGGAATGGCGAGCGACGTCCCCAGCCATTCCGTGGGGCGCACCGAGCCTCAGTCCGTGCGCACGTGGCAGCAACGGAGGTCCCCAAAAATCTCCGGCATTTCGAGAAAAAACAAGAGTTTTTTTGCCGTGTTCGGTTCAGTCTCGGAACCTTCGCGAGACTTATGTCAGGGTCACCAATGTAGTGCCGAGAGAAGGGAGACGGAGGCGGTGTATCGGAGGTGCAAATCTCTCTTTATTGGGGAGCAGAAACTGACATGCTATCGGGTCGAAGCCGCAGAAGAGAAGAGAAAGTGAAAGGGACACACACACTGTAGGTACCCCGGAGGTACCGTCAACATATATGTCCGGGCGGAAACAATACCCCCAACCTGTAGTTCCCGGATTGAATTATGTAACCCCAGTGTATGAATCAGTGATCACTACAGTAGCAGTAGTAGCAGTATTAGTAGCAGTAATAGTTGGAGTATTAGTAGCAGTAAAAGTAGTATTAGTAGCAGTAATAGTTGGAGTAGTAGTAGCAGTATTAGTATTAGTAGCAGTAATAGTTGGAGTAGTAGTAGCAGTAATAGTAGTATTAGTAGTAGTAATAGTAGCAGTAGTAGTAATAGAAAAGCCTTCGCAGCAGCTGGCCCTAGGCTCTGGAACACTCTGCCCCTCCATGTGAGCTCGGCCCAGACCCTAGGGGTTTTTAAATCTACTCTTAAAACACACTTCTTCTCCCTGGCCTTCTAGTCAGAGCGGAGCACGACTCCTGACTTCTCCCTGTGTTTTTTATATATCTGTTGTAATTTATTGTCTTTTATTGTGATTGTCGTAATGTGTTTTTATTACATGTACAGCACTTTGGCTCGACAAAAAAATCGCTTTTAAATGTGCTTTATAAATAAAACTTGATTTGATTTGAATAGTAGTAGTAGCAGTAATAGTTCAAGGTTCAAGGTTCAAGGTTCTTTATTGTCAATCTGACATAGCTACAGAGTAATTATGCAGTTGAAAATCTTATGTCACAGGCTTCTCCAACAATGCAACATAATAACATAACATAATAACAATAAGAGCAAGAGCAATACAAAAATAGTAATAGTTATAAAAATGAAATAAAGTTATGATGTGGAATAGTGCAGTATGAGTCTATATACAAGTTATTGGAATGATATATATATATTAGGTATTAGATACATACTACTGAGTAGCAGTTGAATGTTTGATGTTGTTTCAACAGTTCAATTGTTTAACAGTCTCACTGCCCGCGGGAAGAAACTGTCTCCGAATCTTCTTGTCCTTGCCAGGATGCTGCGGTAACGTCTGCCAGACGGCAACAGAAAGAACAGTTTGTGGCTGGGGTGATGGGGGTCTTTGATAATCCGTAGTGATTTCTTCCTGAGCCGCTGGGAGTAAAGGTCCTCCATGGATGGCAGCTCCGTCCTGGTGATGTGCTGTGCAGTTTTCACCACCCTCTGTAAAGCCTTACGATCGAGGTCGGTGCAGCTGCCGTACCAGGCCGTCATGCTGCCAGTGAGGATACTCTCTATCGTGCACCTGTAGAAGTTGCAGAGTATCCTGGAATCCATTTTGAACCTCCTCAGCCTGCGGAGGAAGAAGAGCCGCTGTCGAGCTTTCTTGGTGATGGTGGTGGTGTGAAGAGACCATGTCAGGTCCTCAGTGATGTGGACCCCAAGGAACCTGAAGCTTTTGACTCTCTCCACCGTAGTCCCATTGATGGCGATGGGGGCGTGTCCCTCTCCCTGCTGCTTCCTGTAGTCCACAATCAGCTCCTTTGTTTTGCTGATGTTGAGATGGAGGTTGTTCTCCTGGCACCAAGATGTCAGGTTTTCGACCTCCTCTCTGTATGCCGTCTCGTCATCGTCTGTGA